TGGCCATTAGTTATTCTTATACTTCCATTTATAGATTAGAGAGGGAAAAAAAAAAAAGCCCCAGAAGGCTGACCCAGCCAGAGCTGGAGTTCAAATCAAGATTTGTCTGATGTCAAAGCCATGTTTTCTTCCAGGCTCCTCAAAAGAAGGAAGTATAAAATATTTGGGGCTGGGAGCTGGAGGCTCATGCCTATAATACTAGCTACATGGGAGGCTGAAATCTGGAGGATGGTAGTTCGAGACCAGCCTGGGTAAATAGTTCATAAGCCCTCACCTCCAAAATAACCAGAGCAACATGGACTGGAGATGTAGTTCAAGTGGTAGAGAGCCTGCTTTGTGAGCTTGAAGCCCTGAGTTCAAATCCCAGTTCCACCAAAATAAAGAAATAATAAATAAAATATTTGGGAAGCAAAAGAGAGGTGAAGGTGTGAATAGTATGATGATGGGGGATATTGTGTCTGAGGAATCTTTTGTGGCTGCCATTTTGTGTCCTTGTCCACCAATACTAAAATCTCAGGTGCTGGGACAGGGTGCAAAAATTGGGGGCTAAAGAATCAGACCCCAATGTCATTCCATTCCTACCTTTTCAGTGCCATTTCTTGAGTTTTCTGGTTTCACCAGGATCGATGGGGGGGCAGATGCAGGTGGTTTTGATGGAGGCTCACTCTTGATGGGGATTTCCTTGCCTTCCATGATGACAGAACTGGCTGCTGAGTGGATCCTAGTATCGCTGCCTCTGCTGATGCAGGTGAGGGCAGGCTCCCCCTCGGGAACAGGCTTGGGTACCATCTCTATCACCACTGCCGAGGGAGAGGAGGGCACCCCCTGTGGCTGGTAGAATTGGAACTGCTGAGGCCGTACCACCATGGTGGGACTGTGTCGGAGGGAGCCCACCATGAGGGTGGGGATCCCTGTCTGGACTGGTCTCTGCAGGGATCCATCTGGGGATTATATGACAGAGATGTCAGCCACAGAGGCAGCTGACAGCAGGTTGAGTTGGGGCTGGATAATCAGTGTGCCCTGATATCCCAGAATAGCTAAGTGTGTTCTTAATTTGACTGTGCTCACATTCTCCCAGGGTCTTTCAAAGGTGACCTTATTCTTTTTATAGTGTTATTTGCTGATGCTAGCAGCAAATAGCTCACTAGTTGAATGCTGTGTATGTGTGTTTATGTGTGTGTGTGTGTGTGTATGAGAGAATGCAAATGGAAGCAATATGCCTTCTGACACCACACACACACACACACACACACACACACACACACATATCTATTCTCTCTCTCTATTCCTTTATATGGAGAGTGAGGGAGAGAGACACAAAGATAGCTTCACAGTGAAAACAGGCATAGAGGCAGACAGACCAAAAGGACTCAAAAGACAGAGCCAGACACAGAAAGGTAGAAGATATTGAGAAACTTAGATGACTGAGGAGGACAAGAGGGAGGGAAAGAGGAAGAAGGGAGAGGGAGGACTCTAAGCAGCTTCTTGCTGGAGAGAGTTCGAACAGGATTTAGACATGAGGTGGTAGGGATGCTGTGTGTGTGTGTGTGTGTGGTGTGTGTGTATGTGTGTCTACAGGAAGGGAGGAAATGTGTGTGCTAGACAAGCAGGACTTCAGGCAGACATAAAACGTGAGTCCATAGTTAGGTGGGGTGTTGATCTTTGTAGTCTCATGACTGAATCTGGAAGCAGATCTCCTCCCAGGGTGCCTGGGACAAGCAAGTCATGCCAGTGTCCTGAAGCTCAGATCCCTCATTTGTAAACTGGAGATAACAGTCCACCACAGGCTGTTGTGAGGATTCCATCTTATGAAATACACATAGTGTTAGTCAGATGGTGCCTGGAACATCATAGATGCCCCATGCTTGTTAGCTGTTGTTATTTTCTGGAAATGCAAAGTCCAAGCATTTGGTTTTGTCCCTTCCTGAGATCACTGTTTTTAAAATTGACATAGTCCTTCTTAGTAAAAGGAAGCCATTCCTCCCCCTGAAATGCATTAAAGACAGGAGATCCTCTTCCCTTGAACATATGTCCTGTAGGTGACCTGAGGAATAGGGGGGGTTCATTGCATCCTGGGGGCAGACATGGGAGACACCCTAAGAAAGCACTGTGGGCCATTTCTCAAAAAGGTCTCCTAGCCAGAGACTCTAGTCTTTCCTGACACTCTACAGACATGTTTGAATCAAAGTTGCTTTTGTCTAGTGCAGAGCGAGCCACAACCACATTCTGCATTGTGACTCTTCATCAGGCCAGATGTGAACATGAAAAAGCAGAACACTCACTAAACACAGTCACATTCCCAGCTGCTGCAAGCAAGCCTGTCACCATTTACACAAGTCTGACCTTTCAATTTAGACATTTTTTTTACTGACAGCCCTGTGAGCTGCACATGTTCAGTTCTCCTGTCATTTCTCTTTGCTTTGGTGAGACTGATAGCCTGACCAGTCTCACCTTGAGAAAAGGGAGAAAGGGATAGCCTTTGGACCTGGGAAGTCAAAGCAACCCCAGGCAGACACGTCCATAGGTTCCTGTAAATGTGTGAAAAATTGGCATCATGTTTATCTATTTATCTTTTCAATTTCTAAATTTCAAGAGATTTAATGCTTTCTTATTACATGTGTGTACAATGCAAGCAATCAAAGCTCCAAGCAAATCAAGATTTACATGGAGGTAGAGAGGGAGCATATTGGAGTGTGAGCTATTGTCAAACACAAGGCAATTCTGTGCATTTCTGATTGGTCTAGACTCATTTCAACCCTAAACGAGTTCATGCTCTGGATGGACCAGATTATCTGTTTAGTTGTAATAGCAATGATAAAATTTACTAATAAAATTTGTCTTATTAATAAAATAATATATATATTAAAAAACCAAATGTTTCTTGAGAGATTATTATGTTATGGCGCTGTACTGTCAGCCTTGTATATATTATTTTATTATGTCTGTATAGTAATGCTGAGGAGGTGGGTGTTATTTTAATTTCAATTTTGCAAATCCACTACTTTGTAGTGGATTACTAGTTTTGTGTGTATGTTGGGGAGAAGATGGAGGAAGGATGGGAGGCAAAGGCAGAGGGCATGCTTTGGTGAAATGAAGTAGCCAGAGCAGTAACACTGGTGTCCCAGGAGGTCACTGGATGGAAGCACTGGGACAGGGTAGAGTGATGATATGTGCTTTCTATTTCTTGGGGATTTTCTTATGTGACATACTAACCCACATGTTCTTCTTATGTCTTTCCTAGTTGTGTTGCCTTTTCATGTTTAATAATTTGTTAAGATTGCAAGAGGAATTGCAGAACTCAGTTTAAATCAGGGGATATAGAATAAATCATATTTATTGTATTTGGCTTGTTACAGATGAAGAAAACTGATGTTTTGTAGAACAGGGTTTCAAATTCTTTTCAGACTCCCTAAAAATGAAATCTTATGTAGAAACTCAATATGTAAAGAGATAAAAACCATGGTTCTTAAAATGAAAATGAATTGCCACGTGTTCAACGTAGATGTTATATAGGAAAAAATAAAAGCAAGTATAGAACAGTATAGTGAGCATGATTAATCAGTGTGTCTGTGTATCTATCTATCTATCTATCCATCCATCCACCCATCCACCTACTCCATCCATCCATCCATTTATCCATCCGTCTGTCTAAAGCTTTGAATTGAGAGTTTAGGGATATGCTGTAACCTTAAAAAAAAAAAACCAAAACCTTATGCATATATTTCTTAAATAACATGGTGAAATCCAGGACCCAGAGCATTGGTCTCTAAGTTCTCATTTCCTACTCCCAGGTCCTGTCTGCCCACCCCCTAGGGGCTTCCCTAGCGCATTGAGCCCACAGGGGTTCTACCAATCTGTCTTAATAAGAAGCAGCATCCACCTTGACTGCGTTCTAATTCATTCTGGCACATAGGGTTGCTATCACCCTAAGTGATGCACAGTCATGCACTGTGCATGCGTGAAGTGATTCAGGACTGTGACCTTCCGTTGGTCTGGCTTCCATCAGTAAAATAATAATTTTTGGGAGGCTAAAGCACCCATCGCAGAAGCTCATCCTAAAGCTGAGATCCTTTTGTGAAGACCACCCTGTGTACCCACCCCAGGGTCAGACCCCCTGCCATCACTTAGCTCTAAGGCACGTACCTCTCTGCCACCACTTACTCTTTCTCATGCTGCTTCGTGCTTTCCGAAGAGACCCTTGTGCTGACGTCCCTGGGCCAGCTGTGCTCCGCACGGGATTGACGACAGCAGTGGGCACAAAGACAGATTTGAAAGGACGGCTTTGCTGGGGATCACCTTCTGAAAAGCTGCCTTGGGAGGACATAGAGGAGGTGGATAATGTCCATGTGGCATAGAGACCAGGGCTCCGGGAATCTGGAAAACTAGAGGTCTTTCTAGATGTTGGATGTATTTTTGAAGAGAAGAAATGAAGAGAGAAAATGTTCAGTCAAGAATCCTATTTTAAAAAACCATCAGCTCCCAACCATACACCAAATGTGGCTACCCTCATCCTCTGCTGACCATTCACTCGTTTAGTCAACCACAGGCCTAACGAAATGGCCCCACTCCCTATACCTTGTGAACTGTGTTTGTGTGCTGGGGGCAGAGAGAGAGTTCATGAGGTTCTAGAACAAGATGTGAATTGCATCTTTCACTGCAGCTCTGAGCACAAAAGCCTCACCCATGTCCCTTCAGCCAGTTTAGAGCACATATATTGGTTTCACTTCCCAGTGGTAATTTCTTGTATTGCATGCTTCCCACTAGATTCTAAACTCTTTGGAGGCAGAGATTTATATGGTTTATTTTATACAGCCCCTGTGTTCTGCATGTGTTGTTAATTGATAAATGTTTATTGAATGACTGCCATGATGCTTTCAGCACTGATACCAGTCATTGTGGCTAACACATGTTGAGTGGGGTACTGGGCACTGGCCAAGTGTTGCCCATGTTATCATGAATTCTTTATGAGAGGCTTCTATTAGTGCCACCATTTCATAGTTTAAAAAGAAAAACAGATTAATGGTTACTTGCTCAAACAAGTGCTAGACTAGGGATTTGAACCCAGGTCTAATCTGGCCCTCTGTCCTTACCATTGAGCTAACCACCTTCTATAATGCTAGAGCATTCATTATTGGTAGCAGGAAAAACCTTTTATCCTGCCTGAAATAAATGAACTAAAGCAGTGAGTAGGCCCTGTACTTGCCTCCATAAGACCCTAGTTCTTCAGCCGTGGGCTGTGATTTTTAAGAAAAGTATTGTTTTTTAAAACTGCAAAAATCTCTTGTCCACTGTTTCTAGCCCACAACTCCCTGAACTGCATGGGGAGTGGCTGTCATTTTACATGCCTTTCTTTCCCTTTTACCAGTCTAACCCTAACCTCACATTTCCTACCAAGCAGTCCATCAATCACCCTGTCACTGTGTTGATTAAGTAACCTCTGCTAATTCCCTGGGAATAGTGAACTCAAGTAAGGCCTGGCACAGGGATGCTTTGGTGGTTTCCCGTAGGTTATTTCCCCTCATCTCCTTCTGTTTATTAAAAAATGATGTAAGTTTAATAAAGAGCCAGTGTCGTAGGAAGATAGGTAAGACATCATTTAATCGTGGTCAATGCTGCCCAAGAAGCATATGCAGCCAATTTCTCTAAGAACTGATGCTTACAGCAAGGGCAGTTCTACCCACGGCTGTCACCTGCTCTGTTCCCATGGTGGTGCAGTGTGTGGAGAGGCATGGGCTGTCCACCAGAGAGAAACCAGATGATATTGTGGAGGTGTGACCCAGGCAATGGAGAGAGGACTCTCCAGCCTTGGTGTCCATGGCAGAGCACAGCTGATCTGCTGTCTTTTAAACACTTGGTTGCTGCAAAATGCATTTGCAACAAGAAAGACTAGTTCCAAAATTGTTTCCAGCAGTAGCAGCAGCAGCAGCAAGGACGAAGCACAGATAATTATGGCCAAGCCAGCCTTATTCCGCCAGTCCCTTCTTGGAATGACTATTTATGGATGAAGTTATGACCTCATTTTTCTGAGCCCAGCACTAGGCCAGATTCCAGGAACTCCTAAATCCTAAGTTTCCCATCCAACAGTGAGTCCCTCTATGTCTTTTGGTTAGAAGCTTAGCACTTACCTAGCACTTTCTTCCAACATCAAAGCACTTTGCTAACATGTATTAATTAGTCCCCATGAAACCCCAAACCTGAAGACATTATGATTCTTGTTTTCCAGAGGAGACTGTATGACATTCTGGGCTTAAGTGAGAGGAGTGAATGTTACTTTTGATTTGCTCCATTGAGCAGATCCCTGTATCATTTTCTCTGTCTGGGATGTTAGCCCTGAAGAGCTTTCTCCAGATTTGAAAGGGTCATTACAGACAGAGTTCTTCTGGGGGACTCCTGCTAAGGAGAAAGGTTGGACCTTGACCACTTTCATACAGTCTGTGCTCAGAGTTAAAAGCCAAGGAGTGGGAGCCCTTTTATCTCTTCTCCACCCAAAAGGCACCAGGTTGGCAAATGTGCCTGTGAAAGTTGTAGCAAAGAGAACTAACTACCCTGGCTAATTGGGCAGAAGGGAATTTATCCGGAGGACTCGAAAGGGAGGCTGCAAGGGGCCCAGCAAAGGAATCTGCAGCAGGAAGCATCAGGTCAGATGCTACTGCTGGAGCCCACAATGAATGGTCTGTAATGTTGCCCGCATCCTTTCCTCCCCTGTTCAAGTTCAAAGTCTCAAGCAGGAGTGAAAGATTGGCGGAGATCCCTGGCTGTGTGATAGGTTGAGAGGCAAGTGGAGGAGACAAAGGGAGGAAACATCTGGTTCCCACTAACACTACACACAAGGGAGGTGATTCAAATGGATGCTGGTGCTGTGACGAAGAGCTTTGGATGCTGGGCAGCTGGAAACTTGACAGCGGTTCTATACAGCTTGAGCCTCTGGATAGCTCCAGGATCTGGGAAGCAAAGAGACTTTATGATGGCAGAGACTTATTTGTGGTCAACAAGAGCTGGACAGGTTGGTGTCACCATTTAGCCTAGAGAGGACTAGGAGCATTTTTGACTCTTAGTAGTTAAAAGGCTCACTTACTGAATTTAAAATCTAAACCTTGGCATTTTTGTCAATTCTTGTCTATAGTTAATCTTCAAATCCTGGCTGGCTCAGTTCTTTAGGGGATGATGCTAGTAAGAGCAAAGATTCCGATGCGCAGAGGCACTCTGCATCTCTGAGCTCTGGCTGCACTATATGCTAAGGAGGCTGATGGTAGTGCAGAGTTACCACTGCAAATGGAAAACAAAGACAAAGGAGGGGAAAAAAAGCAGGGCTTCAAACCCACAGAATTAAAAAACAGAAAGGAGTTTTGCACGCGTAGCCCAACCCACTAGGTTCTTGCCTGACAAAGATAGCCTTTTTCAGTCCTGAAAAATGGGGAGAATGAAACTTCCCACAGTGGAAAGGGTAGTTAATAGCAAGGGATAGCTTCACCCAGAGAGGCAAATTGGGCATATGTTATTTGTGTTCAAGATTAGTGGGGATGGAATCTAAGACGATCAACAGTGAGATCCTCTTCACCTAATTACCCCCAGGAGCATCTTCTTGAACAGGGACTTATTCTTGGGAATATTGCTTCCTTATAAGGAAAACCATGCCCCAACAGTTGTCTAAGATGTGCGTATGTTCAGATTTCTGTAAACTGGAAGGAGTGGGCTGAATGTCAAGCTATGGTGCTGATTCTTCACCCACGGTGTGGAATGTCATCTCCAAGAACTGAGAAGATGCTCATGATCTGCCCAAGAGCACCACACATCCTACCCAGGAGAAAAGTCAAGCAGAAGAGAAATAGAAGATGGAGTTTTGAAAAACACAGAGATGGAATCCTACATGCTTTCTACTTACGGTGGCCATATATCCTAATTTTCCCAGAAAAGTCCTCAGCTTCTACATGTTCAATAGTGTCCTCATTTAGGTGACAAAATATATAATCAATTTTATTCTCATGGCTCTTTGATGGCATAACCAACATTTTGGGCTGAAGTCTAATGTATGCACAAAGGCCCTAGTAGTAGCATGGGCTTGGATGGTTCATCTTAGATCCCATAGGAGAAACTGTTCATAAATCAAGATAGGCATCCCCTTTGCTCCTCACTGTCACTTTCAGGTCATCTCCCATCTTCTCCAACACTTCCCAGCTTTGACTCATTTTATCAGACTCTCTACCCCACTCCACCTTGTTATATACCCTCTAGGTCTGTTTCTGTCCTTATTCCTTAAAGATTTTAGCTTCTGGCTCACTGTCAGTCTCTTGATACCATGGATCCTACCATGATAATCTCACCTAATCTTAAGGCTTAGAGCCTGGAGCTCTTTCTTAAATGCTAGACTTGTATACTGAATGGCTTACCAACATCTTTACCTGGATTACTAATAGGCATCTCAGACTTGATCTGCTGGGAACTAAGCTTTTGCTTCCCCCATACCTCAAAACCTGCTCTTCTTATGGTTTTTAAATCTCAGTAAAAGGAAATTCCATCTTACTGTTAACCAAGGCAAAAAGCTTGGACTCACCTTGAACCCTCTATTCCTCCATACTGGATATTTGATCTATTAGAAAATCCTGTTGCCTCTAACTTCAGGGCATTTCTAGAATCTAACCACTTCTAACTACCTCCATGGCTGACACTGATTCAGATTATAATCACTTCTTCCCAGGATTATTACACTATCCTCTTAACTAGTTTTTCTGCTTCTACCCTTTCTTCTCTAGAGGTTACTCTGAATCTAGCAGGTAGAGAGATTAAGGTTAAACATGTTAGATCAATGTCATTCTTCTGCTAAAACTCTACAATAAGGTTAAAACCACATCCTTCATTGTGACCTAGGAAATTCTGATGACTCAACCCTCTTCTACCATTCTGACCTCATCGCCCACTAATCTCTCATCTCACTTGTTTTATTCCAATCCTGTTGGCCTTCGTGTCAGGTAAATTCCCACTCCAGAGCCTTTGTACTTGCTGTTTCTTTGGCCTGGAATGCATGTCGAAGATCTGCATGGTTTACCTCCTCATTTCCTTCATTCTCCTTACTTCTATCAGTATCACTGCCAACCTATATAAGATTGTAACTTTCCCCCATAAATCCTACCCCTCTTTCCTGATTTCTTTTCTTAATCCTTACCATTAATACACTGTATATATTACCTGCTTTGTTAATTATCTAACTTTCCCACTAGAATATGAGCTACTGTGGGCAGGAATTTTATGTATTTTGTTTACTGGTATTTTCCTAGTGCTGGAAAGATACCTGACACATAGTAGCATTTGATAAATATTTGTGGAAGAAAGAAATTAAAGTATCAGTTACAAACACTCATAGTTTGACTAAAAACAAATTCTAAGAACCTTTCATTAGAAGAAATAACCCTGGTCTTCTATTCCAACTTCTGCATGTAAAGAAATCTTTATCTGTTACCCTGGATCTGTAAAGACAGAGCTTGCCTGTACCCTTCTCACAAATGGGGTCCTCTATCTCATTAGCCAGCCTGATTGAAAAAAATCTATAGATTTGAAAACACAACCTTTTATTGAACTCAAACCTCCTAAGTTGTATCCCCCGGGCTACTCCACTGGCCCTTCACACAACCAATCTACCTCCTGGTTTAACACAGCTCATTAAGATTCTTCTGGCCCTTGTCTTCTAAAGGTTAAGTCACCCTATTTTCTCAGTTTCTGCCATGCTGTAGTCTGCTGTTTTCTCACCATCATTGTTGCCCTCCTCCAGACACAGTGCCTCACCTAAGTGAATACCCCAAAGTGGGCATGTGACTCTAGGTCTGACTCCACAGGGTACAAAGGACTGTCACTTTTCTTGGACATGTGTCCCATGTCATAAAGTCAGGGCATGATGTGTGGTGATGGCTTCACTGCTTCCTGGCCTTGCCTGGGCTGGTGGGGGTTGGAGTTCAAGAGGAGTCTTGGGTAGCTTTTTGGACATGATGTGAGGTAACAGAACAAATTGTGGGTCAGTGAAATTCTGTATGGCACAGAATGGAAAAGGTTGGGCAAAGCTGAAGAGAAATGTTACTGCCGGGCAACTAGCATTTGACTGGGGGCATGGATGATAGAAGTCCGAGTTCATGGAAATGCTGCCTAATGGTCTAGTATACTGAGAACTTTCCCAGGGTGCTCTGGGGAGGTCAACTGACCATATTTTCTGGTTATTCTACTAGATGGGGTGTTGGGGAATAAGATGTGATGTAGCAATACTGGGATTTGTGCAGAAGAAAACCTGAAATCTAGTTCTTAAGTAAATTATTTAACTGCACATCAGTATCCTCGTCTGTAAAATAGAATAGAGAAAAGATTCTTGGGTTTGGCCAATGAGTTAAAAGAGACAAAAGTAAACTCTGAAGAGCTATAAAGACTATTTTTAGTGCATATTAACTGTTAGGGGGATACTAAGGCAAAAGCTATTTCTTGATCTATACTCTGTGTAGCAAGGAGTCCTCCATCAGTCCAACCCACAGATGGCCCCTTGCCTAGGATGACCCAACCTCTCATCCAGTGTCTGAGATTGGTGGGGACATACCTGAAAATGGGGATGACATAGTTGCTTGGGAAGATGCCCACTCGCCCAGTGACCAAGGAGATGCCACGCAGCCAGCCATCCTGGTACTTCCCCAGAACCTTGATGCCTTCTCCCTTCTGCAGGTCTAGCTCATCAGGTCCATGAGCTGAGTAGGAATGCAGGGCTACAAACCTGGAGACACAGGGAACTGGTGAGGGAAGAAGGTGAGCATGCCTGTGGAGGGCACAGAGCCTGTGAATAGCAGAGGGAGATGCGCCTCCAGAGCCCATCAGTCCAATGGCCTTTTAAAAACTGAAATTTCCATGTACAGGGGAGATAAAAGTGGAACAACCTAGTTGAAATAGCAGCGGAGGGGGGCAGATCTCTGTCTTGTCCATCTCTCTGTTCCTCCTCCACAGAGCACTATGCAGCTAGAAATCACTAATTTAGGCCAACATTGGCAATTTAATAGGGAACTGGAGAATGAATGGAGAAAGGTCTTGATGACCAGAAATGAATGGCAGAGATGGGTCTCAAACCTCCAAGTGATGGTTACTAGGTTGCTTTTTCACTACTGCTTGGTGTGTTCCCCAAGAAAACATTCACTGTGAGCAATGCTCAGGGAAAAGAGAGGTCTACATAGAAGCTGCTCTGCTCCACTCCTGTGACTGAGAGTGGGAACATGTTTGACTCTCAGGAATAGCCAGAGGAGCTAGCTGAGGGTAAGCAAAGAAGCAAATGTTGACAAGTGGGAGGCGGGAGTTAATTTCTATATTTTTGGCACATAATGGAATGCTGGTTACATGGCAGAAAGGAGGGGCTTATAATAAACACGGAAAAATGTCCTTGAGTTGGAGACATTGCACTCCAAAGTCCATGCTGGAATCAGGCAGGTATCATCCAGGTGTGAGTCTGGACAGTGAAGATGATAGGGAATAGTTAGGCAGAGACTGAGGAGTGAGCACAGATGCCTGATTGAAGGTATTGGAGGAACCCACTTTTCCTTGCTGGACATACGGGTCACCAGAATACAACACTCAGGCTAGACATTAGCAAGTCCTTCTAGATCCTAAAGACGTGAGACACTGAAAAGTTTTATCAAAGAGGTTAGGAGTATCTAACTTCTAGTGCTCATCTGCAAGTTTTTTTTTCCTTTCCCAAATGCTATATTTATTTATTTTGCTGATTACTAAACCGACCTCTATTTGTGACCTAACATTCTGAATCTAGAGAAAGACAATAGAGATTGCTCAGTATTCAATCTCCCAGTGATCTTGTGTTGTATAGTCTTGTAGTCTTTCTGCTTTTGTAAAATAATGAGTGAGGATGTTGTGGTTTGCTAATATGTGTTTTTCATCATTATTTCCTCTGGAGGTAGTAAAGGAAGGAGAGGGCTGTAGTGTCTCTTGATGGAATGATTTGGGCATGGAGAGTCTTGGTGGCAGAGGGTTGGCAAAGATGACCTCTTTGTGCCAGGATCTGGGATGGAGAGCTGAGCTTTTTACTCACATGTTAGCTGAGAAGTGTTGCTGGGAGCCGGGCAGACTGACCATGGCTGTGGAATGTCCTGTGGAGGCAGGTGTGGGATGATAAGTGCTGACCTACACAGACAGAAAAGACAGCCAAGCAGAACTGTGAATGCCACAAGGCAGGCCTGCAGCAAACAAGGCAGCTACAGAAAAGTTTGACATAGCTGAAAATTAAGAACCATGCCCAGTGCTACCCACCCTGCAATTTCTCTGTGGTTTGTGGCTTTGGTTAGGGTGGGGCAGAAGAGACGATTTTATGGCCTGCCCAGGTGTCAGCAGGCCACATTCCACAAGAAGATAGAGGAGAGAATGGAGGGCCACCCGATTTACGCCAAGAGGGCCCTTCCTGGCTCCTCATGCTGCCTCTCCCCCACCCCACCCATTTCCCAGGGCATTTTCGTCCCTCTAGGAAAACCTCCTCCTGGAAAAGAATATGATAGCTAATATCGATGCAGAATTTAGCACTTGCTGGGCAGCAATCTTTATTAAATTAATTTAATCCTTATTAAAGGCATCTCATTAATTCCAATTTTTGGATAAAAAACTGAGACACAGAGGAGAAGAAATATCACCCAAGTAGTACAAAACAAAATTTAAAATCAAGTAGTCTGTTTCGAGCCCATCCTCTCAATGACTACTGTTAATATTAACACACACACACACACACACACACACACACACACCTCCTGGGGTGGAATACAGGAGGAATAAATCTGAATCTCTTTCACCTCGTCAGAATAAATGATAACAGCCTTTGCACACTGCCTGCTCTCCCAGGGTTTTGTCCATTACGTAGCATGCTGCATGCTTGTTTCCTTCTTGGCACACCTCACAGATTGTCTTGTTCCCTTTTGTTTACTGACCATCTCCCCCACTAGACTTCAGGCTCCCTAAGGATAGAGGTTGTGTCAGTCTTGTTAATCATTTATTTCCTGTGTGCTCATTATTATTTGTAGCTTAAAGAATGTGCTTGCACTCTAGGGACTAACCATCTCCATGGGCAAACACATTCCATCTTTGTTGAGTTATCTACCCATAAGTGACGGTAATTATATATGCATGCTTTTAGAGGACCACTAGGAGGATACTTAAAAAGTACTTAAAACTGCTTTTGTGGGTAGCTCTTGTTTGTGTGGTTGTGTTTGTGCAAATGTGAATGTATCACTGAATGCATGTGTTTCTGGTTCTTTGTGCACATGTGTTGTTTGCTGAGAACCCACAGCAAGGTAGGAACATGTGAGATGGCACTGGTCTATTGTAGATATGCTTATGTTTACACATGTGGTCTATCCATTGATGTACATGCATACTACACGTAGTCATATATATATGAAGTTGTATAGTCATTGTAACTACAATATTGTGTGTGTGTTATGTATGTGAACCCTACAGGAGTGTTCTGGGACACACAACTGTATAGTTTGGAGTGTGTGTTTGTGTCAATGATTGCGTGAATGTATTTGTAGTTGTGTGTGACATTTTGAAGTCTAGTTATAGAATCGGAAAACCTGTCAGATAATAACAAGTGTTGGCAAGGAGGTAGAAAAATTGAAATTCAGACATTGCTGGTGTGAATGCAAAATGATGCCACTCCTTTAGAAGACAGTCTTCCTCCACCTCAGATAATTAACTATAGGATTAGTAAGTCTACTCTGAGTCTATACTCAAGAGAAATGACCAAACACAGGCACAAGAGAAATAAAAACATATGACTCTGCAAGAACTTGTACACAAATATTTACAAAGCAATATTTATAATAACAAAAGATAGAAACAACCCAAATGTCCATCAATTGACGAATGAGAAACAAACACTTTCTCCATCCAGTGGAATATTACTCAGCAATAAGAATGGATGAAGTACTGGTACGTGTGGGAGCAAGGGTGAACCATGACATTATACCAAATGATAGAAGTCAGACCCAACAGACCACACATTGTATGATTTTATTTATATGAAATGCCCAGAGTAGACAAATCTGTAGAGACACAAAGTTGATTTGTGGTTTCCAGGAATTGAGAGGGTAGAGGAACATGGGAGATAGCTAAAGAGTATAGGGCTTCTTTTAAAGTGGCAAACTGTTTTAAAATTGTGGTAACAATGATTTCAAATATATGTGAATATACTAAAAACAACTGAATGTATGGAAAACATTCATTTCCTTTATACTACCTAGCATTTACCTTATAAGGATTTACCTAAGAGGGTGAACATGAATGTTCATAGCATTTTTTACTCATTTTAGCCACAGACAGGAAACACCCAAATACCAATCAATAAACAACTCATGGTGTATCCACAGAAGGACGCTTCTCAGCAGCATCCCGAGAAGATGCAGGACGTGGTTCTCTATGTGATGTCATTTATATGAAGTTCTTAAAAAAAAAGAAGAAAAGAAAAAGGCAGCATTATGGTGACAGAAATGGATTAAGAGCTGCCAAGAGCCAGGGGTAGGGAGGGAGGACTGATTACAGAAGAGCATAAGAACAAGTTCTGAGGAGATGCACACATTCTAAATCTTGATTTGGGTGATGATTACATGCTGTGTTACACATTTGCCAAAAGTCATTGATTTATTTAAAGCAGTTGAACTTTATTGTATGTAATTATGCCTCAATAAAGCAGTTGAAACAACAAATGTGAATATTGTACATTATCTAGTTGGCAGGAAATATCCAAGTGACTTAGCTTGACTCAGCTCAGCTCTGGACTTGGTCAGGGAAGGGGATGTGAATGGTGGGAAACTTAGCAAGAGACTCTCATGGCAGGGGCACCTAAATAGGAGAGAGACCAAGAGTGGGATCAGAGCTCAGTCAACAAGTCAAGGCAAAATGAATGAATGAGTGACAGGAGAGACAGGAAAAAGAGCAAAATAGATAAAGGCAGGAAAGGAGAAACTGGGTGGGAAGGAGGACAGATGGAGCACCCAGAAAATAAAGCCACCTTCTGAGGAGGCATGTCAGTTCCTGTCAATGGGATGGGTGGAAGGCCAGCTGTCCTGCATGGTGAATGGGCCTGGTGGGTGGTTCCTTTCCCTGTGGTCAGTTGTGACCTCAGGTGTCTGTATCACAGGGGCTCATGAGGCTGGATGTGGATGCAGGCCCTCCTGTGACTGGTGCGTCCTGGCATAGGGTTCACACCCTGAGGGAGATGAGGGAGTGGTTTAGGTGGAGGATGGGGTGGGATGAACATTTTTTGCTGAAATCTAAACATATTTTTCCTCCCTTTGGAAAACATCCAATTTAAAAGAAGTCTTAAAAAATGTCTTTATCAGTCAGAGAAGAATCCACAGTCATGGCCTCTGGGGTCTTTATATTTTAGGTGAAGGAGGAAAGGGTCTGGAGCCTGGCACAATTATGGAAACCCTCCATTGTCCCCTGCTGCCTTTTCCATCAGTCACATGGGCACAGTGAGTGCAGTTGCCCCTCAGGAGTTTGGAGATGCCCAGGCACGTGGCTCTACCATTTACCAAGTGGGCAAATGATGGGACTGGGATGTTCCATGTTCTCAAAATGGAAGCAAATGACGGCATTTCTTTCCTAGTGTTGTTACGAGGCTCTAATAAAATAACTCATGCAATTTATTTAGCATGGAATGGCACATTGTAGGTGCTTAATAAATATTTGCAAAGGGATCAGTTGGTGTGTGGAATGGGGATGGCGTGGATAGCACACCTCTCTATAGGGCAGCCCTTCAAGAGCTTGGACTGAGAACAGGATCCAAGAATCTGGGGACAGCAGCACGTGTTTGTAGCAGACTTGCTTCTCTATTCTAGGGGAAAATCTCCCCAGCTTTCCAAAAGATAAGTTTGCTGTCTCCACCCCACCCATGCCATGGCACTCAGCTATTTCCTCCAGAGCCCTTCCCTTTCAGTTACTTGGTGAGGACAGGGTGACTGTCTTCCTCAGAAGGGTGTGAACTACTGCAGAGTTGATTATGGTTCTGCAGTTGGTATTCCCAGTTGCTAACAAGGGCCAGGAACCTACAGAATGTTCACTCATGGTTGAGAGGAGGACTGTATTTTAGACAGAAAATCAGGTGGTATTTGGTAGTTTCTGTACCCACAACTAGGGGCAATCCGGAGTTGACCATTTGATTTTATAAAGTTAAAAGCTCAAACAGCCATATTTGATAACTGTGATGTAGACTTAATATTGAGTCCTAGGCACTGTACCGGGCTATGCAGTTACTGAAATGAACCGACTCCATTCCCAAGTGGAATTCCCAACGCCACATGTCAGGAAAGTAGCTAAGTTGTAATGACACAAACATGGTGTGTGTTGGGGTGGGGGAAGTTCAAGACGCTCTGGGTGCAACAGGAGAGTTTTGCCTTGACCTTCATGAGTTGCTTCACCCTCGCTATGCTCTAACTCTAGTGCTAATTAATACCCAGCTTCCCTTAGCATTACCTTATTTTCACAGATGGGAAAGCTGATGCAAAAAGATGTCATGATTTCCTAGAGGTAGCCATCAAATGATTGATGAAGTTGGCAGCGGAAGCAAGGACCCTTGGCTCAGAGCCCATTCTGTAGATTGCCAAGATTAGCACTTTTCCCCCAAATTTCAGTGTGGCTAAATGTATCATGTGTGTGAGTGGTATATGTGCCTCCCAGAAAATACCATCCAGCAAAATTCAGCCTTCTGTTGTCTATACACATAGATATGATGACCCCAGCCCTGTTAAATGTCTCTTGCACAACAGAATAGATCTGCGGGCAGGTGGAATGTTAAGTAGTTTTAGCTTTTCTCTCCCTTTCCTGGCAGAGCTGAAGTGCCAGGCATCAGAGCTCCTGCCGCCACACTGTCTCAGCCTTTCTCTATCCAAGCCTGTCTCAGAACCAGCCTGACCTGCAACCCGCCCTGTTCTACATGGGCAAGCAGCAGCCACCCAGTGCTATTTATTTTTTCTGAAAGGAAGGACAGTGTCTGTGAAAGAGAACTCATTTATGAGCTGTCATCAGGTCCCTTTAGATCCATCTAAACTAAAGTTCATGGATACAGGGGTTACCTGCTGTATAATATTGTATAACATTGTGAAACTACTAAACTTTCTTTCTAGCTTCACCCTCTC